CTGCAACTCCCCCCAGCCCTGGCCAGCCTGCAGCTGAAGGCCACCAACATCTAGAATGCTCTAGGGAGAGAAGCAGCGCATTGCATGGCGTGCGTGTGAATTGTGCAACTGCAGGAAGAAATGTCTCAAGAGGAGGCTGATAAAAGAGCTGTGAATGATGGGGTGAGCGGTCAGGGGAGGAGGGGGGAATGCAGCCGCCCCCCCCCCCCCCGAGTCAAAACTTCACCTCCAGGATGTCACTGGTGGTTCTTAGCAGTGCCGCCTTTGTGATGGCAGGGTGGTGCTGGTGGTGCAGGAGGGAACGGGCGGGGGCAGAAAGACACCCCCGGGGACCTTCCCTCTACCCCAACACCAGCAGCCCAGGAAATGAATTTGTCGCTAAGCAACCAATACGTAGCATCCGTGTTCCTGGGCGACAGTTCAAGGTTCAAACAGTAGCACCATCTGGGAAAGCAGCTTCACTTTTTCCTCCGTGAGGCTACAGACACAGGATTGGGGGTGGGGGGGTCGGTCATGATTTTCCTTCTGCACAAAATGTAGAGCTGCACTTGACTGCCCTCAGCAACCCTTTTGGACTGGGGTGCCATTACTGCATCCCTGGGACATCCCACCCACCCCCCAAAAAAATCCCTGTGTCCTGGCTTGGTGCAGCCCCAACAGCAGTTGATGATTTTATCAAGATTTTGTGAACTTGCTTCTCTTGCAGGATTTCATTTGGGAAGCGCAGCTCCCCGTTTTACAAGAATCAAAGATACGAAGACCCTGGCCTGGAGTTTTTGTGTGTGTTTTACTGCTTTGCTGGCTGGGATGCAGGGTGCCTCTGAGCGTGTGCAGAGTGCTGCAGCCAGTTCCCACCAGAGCAGAGCTGTTTTTGCACACCAGCCAGAAGGCCTACCCTGCCTGGCGGCTTCTCGCTTGCTACCCCGCTGAGAAGAACGCAGAAAAGGGAAAGTGTTGCTTCCTCTGCACCGCAGGCCATTATCAGCTGAATGCCAGATGTTCGGAGTTGGTGCCAATGTCGTGGCAAATAAATCTTGAGCGGGTTCAAGGCCTTGGCTGTGTGGGCAGGGCTGCCTCTGCTGCTCAGCAGAGAGCATAGAAGCTCCTGGGCAAAGTGGCTACTTCCTTGGGCAGGCCGCTAAGTGGCCGGCTATTTTGGGCAAGGAGGGGCTTTGCAGAGAGGGGGGGCTTCAACATCCTTGGGCGCTCTCTCCGCTTCCCAAGGACTCGGCTGGTGATGAAGATATAGTGGGAAAGTCCCCTCTGCCCGCAGGGGTTGGGCTCTTCGGTTCAGGCCTACTGGGACTAAGGGGGGAAATATTAGGGACGGGGGGGCTCAAGCCACCTGGAGAGTGGCTCCCAATGTTGTGAGGAGCTGCTTTTGATTGGTTGCTTGAGTGCTGGGAGAATGACAGTCTGCCCATGCTCAAAGACTAAGCTCCATAAGTCCCAAATCTGAATGCCGTGGTTCTGGGATTTGCTTATTTATTTTAATGCCTAAGCAGCAGTGGTGCCTTGGTTTTAGAACAGCTTAGTTTATGAACAACTTGGAAATAGAACGCTGCAAACCTGGAAGTAGGTGTTCTGGTTTGTGAACTTCGCCTTGGAAACTGAACATGTACGGCTTCCTGTTGAGTGTGTTCCATTTGTAAATTGAGTCTCCTGCCAATCAGAGGCTTCCTGTTGAGTCTGTCAGCTGTTGAGTCCTGAGCACCCATGCAACACAGAGGCGATATTTGGAGTTTTCGTTTTGCTTTTCTGTGTGTGTTTTTGTTTGTGTGGCTTTTTCGGGTTTTTTGACTGTGTCTTGTTTTTGTGACTGTGTGGAACCCAGTTCAGCTACTGATTGATTGATTGTGTGACTGAAGAAATGAATAATAATAATAAAAAAACCCCATCCAAACAATGACTATCATCAGAGCACATAAGAAAAAACGTGTTTTTTTTAACATCCACAATACTTATTTATTTTATAGTACATTGATTATTGCTTTCATTTTATGGATCAATGGTCTCGTTACATAGTAAAATTCATGTTAAATTGCTGTTTTAGGGGTTGTTTTTAAAAATCTGGAACAGATGAATCCATTTTGCGTTACTTTCTATGGGAAAGCATGCCTTGGTTTTAGAACGCTTTGGTTTTGGAACGGACTTCTGGAATGGATTAAGTATGGGAACCACTGTACTTGAGAGCCTGCTGGGTGGCTTGTGAAGCCCTCCTTCTCCATGTGTCATCTGCATCCCCACTCCTGCACACCACCTGGCTGGCTGGCTTGAGCTCCCGGGGGTTCCCCTTCTGTGGCTTCCAGCAACTGGTAGTCAGAGGCCTCCTGCCTCCCACAGAGGGTGTAGAACATAAGAAGAGTCATAGAATGAAGCATGGAATGGTGGAGTTGGGAGGGAGGCTGAGGATCAACTAGAGCAGCCTTTCTCAACCTGTGGGTCCCCAGATGTTGTTGGACTACAACTCCCATCACCCCTAGCTAGCAAGGCCAGAGCTCAGGGATGGTGGGAGTGGTAGTCCAACAACATCTGGGGACCCACAGGTTGAGAACCGCTGATCTAGTCCATGGGTAGGCAAACTAAGGCCTTCTCAATCCGGACCGTGGACCGTCCGGGAATCAGCGTGTTTTTACATGAGCAGAATGTGTGCTTTTATTTAAAATGCACCTCTGGGTTATTTGTGGGGCCTGCCTGGTGTTTTTACATGAGTGGAATGTGTGTTTTTATTTAAAGTGCATCTCTGGGTTCTTTGTGGGGCATAGGAATTTGTTCTCCCACCCCCCCCCCCAAAAAAAATACAGTCTGGCCCCCCACAAGGTCTGAGGGAGAGTGGACCAGCCCCCTGCTGAAAAAGTTTGCTGACCCCATATCTAGTCCAACCCCCTACAGTCCAGGAATATGCAGCTGTCCTAATTGGGGATTGTGATCAGCATCATGCTCTGATCAACTGAGCTACCCAGTCCTGCTGGATCAGGCCATCTAGTGCAGCATCCTGTCTTTGCAGTGGCCAGGTGCCCGTTACAGGAAGCCCACAAACAGGACCTGGGCAGGAGGGCACCTCTGACCACCCGTAGTTCCCAGCAATATGACTGTTTCGGTTCGCAGCCATTGACAGCATTATCAGCCATGAATTTGCCCCATCCTCTTTGAAAGCCCTCCAAGCTGGTGACCAACATTGCCCCCTGGGGAGAAAAATCCATGGTTTAACGCTGTGTTGCAGGGAAAAGCGTTTTCTCTTGTCTGTTCCGACTCTTCAGCCTGCCAGCCTGCCTGAAAAGCTGCCCTTCTAGCGTAAGGAAGCTGCTAATGCAAAACGGGAGGGGACTGCATTCTGGCAGTGGGTGGAGCCATATAAAAGTGGGTGGGGCATATAAAAGTGGGTGGGGCATATAAAAGTGGGTGGGGCCACCCTTATTTCTGTCTGCTCTCTTCGACCCTCCCTCAGTGGACTGTTAGAGGAGCGGCAGAGGTCTCTTGCCAGGGCTGTGAGCTGATAGGCTCAGTGAGAGAGCATCTGTTGTGAATGCAGAAGATCTCAGGTACAATTCTCATCATCTCCAAGTAAAGTTGGAGGAGGCTCACTCTCTGAAACCCTGGGGAGCCACTGATGTCAGTCAGGGTAGAAAGCAATGAGAAAACAGATGGACCAGTGGTCTGACTTTGTGTAGTGTGTCCCTCTCTTTTGAAACTGGGCCAAGGGCTGAAGGTTGCAACCTCTAGGGTTTAAAATATTTATTTATTTATCCATTGCTTTCAACAAGAAAATGCTCCAAAGCTATTTACAAATCCATAAAAAAATATAAAACAGCTTGACATTCAGTAAAACCAAATATATGGGCGGTGGGGGTCGGGACGTTGATAACACTGCACAACAAAATTCCTGAAAGTTTTCACACAACAATTACCGTACTGTTAAAAGGGGAAGGAATCACACACACACAAAACAGACACATACACAAAACCCCACAAAACAGACAATAAATCTCTCCCCCCCCACCCCCCAGTAAGACCCCAGTTAACGACCCAAAGCCTGAGCAACGAGAGATGCTTCCGCCCGTTCACCCAAAAGCAATGAAAGTGCCAGTTGTGCTTCCAAGGACTGAACAGTAGTTATGCACGCAAAGCTCTACTGCTGAGCTGCAACTGGGCCCGTAGAAGTGGAGGAAAGCACGCTCTGCACATGCCCCAAGGCACTGAGAATCCCTCAGCTGAGCTCAAAAGCACCTCAGCAGCCGCCACAAGGCTCCAGTGAGCATTGAGGAAAAACTGCCAGGATCTCCTCGTTTCTTCCTATCCTTGATATTCCGCAACGTCCCAGGAGGGAGATAAATATGGCCAGTCCCCACCCTCTCTTGGTTATCTGCAGCCTTGCTGTGCCTCTTCCCCCTGCCACGTTCCTGGAATGCGCTCGCTGCAGGTGTGGCCTATGAGAGCGGTTGCAAAACGTCTTCACCCTTGCCTGCCAAAGCCTGGGTCCCTGACTGCAAGACCTCCCAGCGATAAGGCAGGAGCTGCGTGAAGCACTCCAGGTCTCACAAACGTGGGCCAGGAGGTCCCTCCACCACTTGGGCCCTGGGCCCGGTTGGTGCTGGTGGTCTTCCTCTCAGGGGCCTGAGGGCTGCATAGCTGAGCTCAGCTGGGGCGCAACCTCTCTTGGCTCAACGCTGCCTGCAGCCAGATCAACGGCCTCTTGTGTTCCAAGCTTTTTATGCAGCAGTACTGTGAACTGTGAATTTGTCTCTAGTGGGGGAGAGATTTATTCACACAGTGCATAGTTGGACTGTGGAACTCACTCCCACTGGAGGCAGGGATGGCAACTAACCTTGATTGTTATAAAAGAGGACTGCACAAATTCACGGTGGAGGAGAGGACTATTGATGGCCGCTAGCCATCGATGGAGACAGCAAATTTTTTTCCAAATACCAGTTGCTGGAGACAGCAGGATGAGAGAGGGCTCTTGTGGGTGGATTCTGCTCATGGGTTTCCCATTGGGGCCTCTATCTGGTCATTGTGAAAACAGGATGCATGACTAGATGGACAAGGGCCTGATCCAGCAGAGCTCCGTTTATGTTCTTATTTCTAGGAGCGGGAAATCTGGTTCCTCCAGATAGTTCTGGACTCTCCACTCTCACCAGGGCTGACCATTGGTCATGGCGGCTGCTGGGAGCTGGAGGAGTCCCAGGACACCTGGAGGGACAGAGGTTCCCCACCCAATTTACAAGATGGGCACAAAGCTTCATGGGAGGTTGGTTATCTGTAGTATCCATATGGTGAGATGTAACCTCTCCTGGGCATTTCCAACTGATTATGTGACCCGATCCTCTTTGCTGCTGCAACTGATGCAGTTCCAACATTAATAACTCCAGCATGGTGTTACATCTCACAATAGCAGCCTTCAGCAACCAGGTGTCCTCCAGCTGTTTGGGACTACAATTCCCATCAGCAGCTCATTTTGAAAGCCCAGGAGACTGATGCAGCTTAAATGTGCCATGATCTGGCTCCGTCCTCCTGGGAAGGGCCAGGATTTCATAGCAAAGCGCATGCTCTGCATCTAGGTCAGGAATGAGAAACCTGAGGTCCCTCAGGGAGCTCCAACCAGCAGGACCAATGGTCAGGGAGAGTTGGGAGTCCAGCAGAATCTGGAAAGCCACAGATTAACCACCATGACGTATAAAGTTTCGGGCTGAATTTCCTCCACTTACGTGCCAAAGGATAGCAGGCAGCCGAACTCCTTGGACAGCTGCTGCCAGACAAGGGTTTCAAAATGTGGGGCTTAAGAAGGAAGCTGGAAGGTGTGCAGAGGAGGGCAGCTGAGAGGATCAAGGTCCTGGAAACTAAGCCTGATCAGGAACGCTTGAGGGAGCTGGGGATGTTTAGCCTAGAAGAGACTGAGAATGACATGATAATAATCTTCCGCTATCTGAAAGGCTATCCCATGGAAGATGGAGCAAACTTGTTCTCTGCTGTTCCAGTGCTGGATGATCTACGGTTGCCATACATCTGGAATTTTCCAGACATAGCTGGTAATCTGCCATTGGAAACAGTGTTGGGACTTGCTAAGGGTATGATGGTAAGAGCTGTTCAGCAGTGGAATGGACTCCCTTGGGATTTTAAAGCAGAGGTTGGAAGGGGTTCCCAGTATTAGGTCGGACACTGTATATGATGTTTTAACGTGTTTTGATGTTTTATCGTGTTTTTAATATTCTGCTGGGAGCTGCCCGGAGTGGTTAGGGAAACACAGTCAGATGGGCGGGGTATGAATAAATAATACTTCTTATTATTATTATTATTATTATTATTATTATTATTATTATTAGTTGCCAGAGAGTAGGAGAGCATGTGTTCCCTCAGTCTCCTCTCCTCTCCCCTCTCCCAGGGAATCCTCTGGGCAGCTGCTGTCTCTGAGCTGCCCCCCCGCCCCAAAGAGAGATGCCTCCTCACACTGCCCCACAGGGGCTGGGGAATCACCCCCTGGCCAGCCAAAGGTGCACCCTTCGCCTGGGGAGCTTGTAGCCAAGGCTGCTGCAACAAACAGCTGCGCAAGCCTTTGGGAGGCAGAGATAGAGGAGGGCATCAGAGGAGGGAGGGAAGGAAGGAAAGAGGGACAGAGGCCAGGGTTGCCCACCGCTCCCCTGACCATCCTTCAAGGCACCCCAGGGGGCCACAACACACTGGCATAGAGCAACCTCTTATGTGTATATTCCCTCTGGGATGTAAAATGCTTTGGCTCGTACGTGACGTCTGTGCTGTCCCTGTGGAATTTGGTCCTCAAACAGCTTTCATAAGTGCTTCAACAGCTACCAGCCCCCCCAAAAAACATTAGGAGGAAGGGAAGCTGCAATCTGAAGGGCGTGGGGTCTCAAACCCATCACGGGGCTTATGGGTCAACCTAAAAACATCCGAAGAGCCTGCTGGATGAAGCCCATCGGGTCCAGCCTCCTGTTCTCCCAGTGCCTGACCAGATGCCCATTATGGGACCCAGGCTTGAGAGCCTCTTCCCTCCTGCTATTTTCAGCAACTGGCATTCAGAAGCATTGCTTCCTCTGAAAGCTGATGGGCACTGTCATTTAAACAATGTGTGTGCATTATGCCTTGTGATCTATTATTATCAACCTTTTATTCAAGTTGGCACCCCCTGGTGGAGAACTTCCTTTTGGATCTTGATCTGTGCACACACGGCTGGGGTCAGGAGCCACCTCAGGAAAGTTGGTCCTGTGGGGCTTGTCTGTCCCTCGTCTTGTCTCCCTCTCCTCCCACGGCCAATGCTGAGGCTGTTAAGCTGGTGCAGAACAATGGCTGGTGGCGCTGTGTGTAACTGCAGCCTGCACTTGTCGTTTCAATCCAGTCAGCGTGGCGTGGGGGACTAGCTAGAAATAGGGCCAGAATGTGAACAAATATGGCCGGGCTGTGTGAGGGTTGTGGGGGCAGGCTAGTGGGCAAACAGCCCCCTCCACACACACACACACCCCAGGCTTGCCTTTCCCTCTGTGAAGGTCAGAGCATGAGCCAGTGACAGAAATGCCTGACAAAATGCCTTGCGCCGAGTCCTTGGGCCCGATAATGGATGTTCCAGGCAATGTTGACATTTGGTGATCCACCAAAGATCAGGTTAATGAGGCTGACGCTGGTGACAGTGTGATTTGTTCGCTGCCATCCTCCCCGGCCGAATCACAGGCCATGCGGCCTTCGGCAGTAAACCATCATGCCAGGGCCCTCCGCACAACAGCTGCTGTCACTGGCCAGATGAGCAAGCGAGGGAAACGTGGCAATTAAGAGAAGTTGGTGCCTCCTCCACTTCTATGGGTCCAAAGATCAGGGAGGGGCAGCTCACGGAGCTAGCACAGATCCCCAAAAGACCCTTGGATTAGTTAAAGATAGCCCCCCACCCCACCCCCCGTTACTCACATCCAGAGACATGTGCACTCCCACCCCACCCAAGGCACAGTGAATATACCCTTTGTCCCGGCTGGGCTCAAGGAGACAAGGTAACAAGAAAAACACAGGTTGACCGTCTTCCTCCGATCCCGACTTCCTCCAAAGGTACCCACCTGAATTCCAATGCAGGGATAGGATCTGGGAGAAACCCACAGTCAATTTAAGTTACTTGAGGACTTGAGGACTTAGGAGCTGCATCCGAAGGCTTGCTATGTTTTTAAAGCAGCTACAGCACCGTGACACAATGACTTTAAAAGGCGAGGCGAACTACTGATGGCTACTTCCTGCGATGGCTCTGGTCTGGCTCCACAGTTAGAGGCAGTGACGCTCTTGAATCTCAGTTTCTGGAAACCACAGGAGGGGAAAGTCTGTTCTTGAATCATGCTTGTGGATTTCCAGCAGACATCACGGTGGGTGGGGCCAGCACAGAGCTCTACAGCGTGTCAGCTGCAAGCAGAAAAGCGGAATATTAATAATTCCTGAAAGAAGCAGGGGAAGGGCTTGGGTTCTGCAAAATGCCTGAGGCAAACTAGACTGCTACCTGTTGGCTCCAATCTGTCTCAAGAGGCGAGGAAGCGCGCCTCTGTGGGTGAAATCAAACTGATGGAATCTAAGCGCCCCCTGGAGACCGGGGACTTGTACTGCTGCTTCCCAGGTGTCTTTGCTGGGGTAGCAAAGCCTGGGCAGTGTGTCTGGAGGTCCTGGCCTGCCCTGGCTGCATGACCTGCCTCTCAACCTCACTGACGTGGTCTAAAGGAAAGCAGAGCAAGACGCTTGGCACCAGCATAAGTTTAAGAGCTGCCTGAATGAAGCACACAAACCGCCATGGGGCTTGCTCAAGTCTTTTCTTCTCCCAAAGATGTCTCGCAAGGCAGTGGGTTTTTCTTCCCAAAGCCTTTCTCACCTAACAAAGGTGCTGCTGCACAGGTGAGTTTTGAAGAGGGATTTGAAGGTGGAGGGATTCATAGCAATCTCACTCAGCTTTCCCAAATTTGTAGCTCAGGTGGTTTGGGCTAAAACTCCCACCAGCCCCAGTTGATGGGACTTGTAGCCCAAAACAACTGAGAAGGCGGGATACAGGAAAGAAACCATTCTCAAGGGGGGAAACCTCAGATGTCCTCAAAGTCACTGCAGCTGGTAGAAGTATGCTTATTGCAAGCAAAACCACATTACACGTAAGCACACGGGTCAAGGAAGGACCCCCTGGAAATACAGAAGCCACATGGCTCCTTGCCTACCGGGGGGGGGGGGGCAGGGGAAGCAGCCTCCTTTTCACCCACATTACGCAAGCAGAACATGATCTCTTGGGTCCAGCTGCTGTCCAAACACATCACAATACAGAGCAGCTGGGTGAAAGGCAAGCTTTGCTTAAAGGCTCAAAAGCCACTGGCCTTCCAGTTTTATGCCATCTAGATTCTACCTGCTTCAATTCAAAACTTTGCTCAGGCGGTCCAGGACACCAGCACCTCAGGTCTTCAAAGGGAAGAGGGCACATTTTATACAGCAAGAGGGCTCCTGGGAAGGGGGGCAAGGGAGGAGGAAGGTCTGCCTCTGAGGACAGACTAGGAGCCTCTGCTAACGTGGTTGCCAAGTGTGCGCTACACCTGGGGCGCCTCCGCAGAGTGGGGGACCAGCCACACACACTGGAGAACGGAGATGCAGGTCTTGTATCTCCATGGCGATGGCTCTGATGGGGACCTTGTTGTCAGGGGAACAATTTCTGAAAGATCCGTCTGCTGGGGGCAGATCCGGCTTTGCTGAATTACCATTTCCTGGAGGAGTCAAGAACAGGTTTCTACATCCGAGAGCCGCTCTGGGACCTAAAGAGATCAAGCCAAAGAGTGTTAACACCTCTTGCGCACCACCCAACTTCTCCCTCCTCTGCACAGCTTGGCTTTTGCTGGGGTGGGGGCAGCAGGAAAGCCTGAAGAAGCAAACGTCAAGCCACTACCACCAGCCTCCTGTCACTACTGCAACTGGATCAGACCTATGAAGACTCCTCAAGGATCTCTGGGGAGAACGGGCTGTGGGTGGCCAGCACCACCACCCTCAACCTGGAGGCCAGGCTGCCGATTTGTAGCCTGGGATTGGCCTGAAGATTGCTGGCTGGTCTTCTGGGAGGGAGCAGGCAAGCAGAACCTTGCGCTGCGCAACAGTCTGACGTAGGACCACAGACTTGTAAGGGAATTATGGAATTTGCTCCTGCGGGAGTGGCAATGGGCATCAACTTGGGGAAGCTTTAAGGAGGAACAGAAAAATTCACGGAGGAGGAGGGGGCTATCAATGGCTCCTAGCCAGAATGGCTCTCCTCTACCACCAGCTGGAGGCAGCGATGCCTCTGACTACAAGTTGCTGGAAGCCACAGGAGGGGAGTGTGTTGCTCACCTCGAGTCACAAGCCTCTGCAGGCATGACAGGGAGAGGCACCTGCTTAACTACCTTGCCTGCCACAAGTCAGCACAGAAGGTGCAATGGCAGCTTTCTATGTGCTGAGGCTAAACTTAATTCCAAAGAGCAGGGAGGAAAGACATTCTGCTGACGAGGGAATGTGGGGCCTGGAGTGTTAGCAAAACAAAGGCACATTTAATTCCTGGGTAGGGCCACAGGCCCAGCTGGCAGAAAGCAGGGATTTTCATACTCTGGCTGCTTTGAAAAGAATAAAGGGAACCCAAATGCATTTATGTGGTCCATTAACTAGGCCAATCCAGAAGCGCCAAGCAACAGGGAAAGGAACAGAGAGGCAGCACAGCCCACGGACGGGGGGGGGGGAGCAGCAGCTGCTCACTTGGTGACGTGGCCACTGCCATCTCAGTGTGGCAGGCAGACGCACACAGAGAGGCGAACAATGGCTTTGTGAGTGCGCCGCCTGCTCCCGGCTGAATGGGCCCTGGTGTATGCACTCCAGGATGTACAGAAATCTAAAAATACCAAGTCCCTCCTCATGGCTTGCCGCTCTCTCATCAAACACAAGATATCTTTAACTGATCTCTCCTTTCCCTCTGCAGTGCTCTGGTCAAGGCTGTTTTTGCAGTCAGGTTTGTTTGCATATTGGATTTTTTGTAAAAGAGGGTGCTTGGCAGCTATTAAGGCAAGAGGGGCTAAAATAACCTGCTCCTTTCACCTGCTGCTCATTCCTAACACCTCCCCGTCAAAGCCTGGGCTGAGATCTGGATAGCCAGGAGAAAGGGGAGCCAGACCCGTCCAAAGGGACCGGGTGGAAGGCATGCTTCCCTTTCTCTGGCCTCCCCTTACCCTGCTGTGCTCCGCTGTGAGGGCACCATCAGGGCCAAAGGCAGCTTCCAGATTGCCAGAGATGCATCCTGCCGGCACTGGTGAAAGCTCCTTCAACCTCACGGCCTGCAGAGACCCCCTGCTCCAAGCACCCCCTCCCCTAAGACATTGACTGCCAGGTAGAGATGTGTGCGCGCGCGTGTGGAGGCGGCACCTGTGGGACACGGAAGCAAGCAAGCAAGCAAAAGAAAGGACACTCAAGAGTCAAGCAGTGCAGAACCATTTCACATTTATTAGTTCAAAGATCTAACACTTGCTAAACATGCGTTTAACACTTATTGGTCACATTTCCACAGGTAGTCAAGTCACAGAATAGAACTTTGGAGCCGAGGCTGCTGGGCGAAAGCGAGGGGCGCCGGCCCCACGGCCAAAACTACACCCGGTCAGAACACTGTTGTTGTCAACACCTCCTGAGGCAGGAGGCACCACCGGGCGAGTGGCTTCCCAGCAGTGCAGATGCTCCAGCTCCAGGCATGTTGAAACATAACAGCTAAACATTCACTATTTGTTATGTTGCAGTGACACCCTGCGTCTCTGATTTATTACACGGGATTGTAGGGGAAACGCGCTGCAGGCTGTTTGGTCCAGGCATTGCTGCCCCTCCCTTCCTCCCTCCGGCTGGGAGAGTCCCAGGATGCCCATGGCGGGGGGGGGGGCATGGAGATGCAGGTCTAAAAGTCAGCAGGGTGGGCAGAAGGAGGTGGCAGGAGCCATGGGTGCGTGTAGGGTGGGAGGGGGGCCTGCAGCCTTGGGCTCAGGCTGGCAAGAGCACCCGCTCTCCACGTGCTGCTGCAGAGGGAGGGTGGTCTTGCGTCTCTTCTCTAACAACTCTGCTCAAGATCCCAGGTGTCCCTTCCCTTCATTCAACCCCCATGCATCCTGCTACCTCCTTCTGACGCAGCCCCAAGGGGGGAGGGGGGGGCAAAGAATTCTCCTGCAGCAGCACTGAGGAATGGAGAATCTCTGGAGAAGTTGACAAAGCAGCATCTCCCCCTCCCCCCCCCAAAAAACCCTGTTGCATCTCCACTCAGAAACATGTACAAAGAGGAAGCAGGGTTATTTTAGGTTTTTTCCAAAGTTGGGGGAGGGATTTCTTTTCTTTTTGTTTCTTTTCCCCCAGCACAATCCCTTTGAGATGATAAACAGGATGTCACACAAGAGGTAGTTTTGTTATGGAAACTGAGTCAATAATGTTATCAACAAACTAGTACAAAACATTTTCATACTTAAGAAAGAAAGAAAGAAAGAATGCATCTATCGCAAAGGCGGCTCAGTTGAGGTCAATGGGTGCCCCGAGCAGGGCGGGTTCAAGTCCAGACAGGGGCTCCTTCCCCAGGCAATGCCAGGGGGCACAAGGCCCCAAGCAGGCCTGGGGAAAGAGAGCCCCCTCCTGCTGGGGCAGGGGCAGCAGGGGGGTTTCCCTGGGTTCAGTTTAAATACATATCCCTGAGCTTCTGCGTGCGGCACAAAGGGCGCACAGAGAACCCAGAGAAACCCCTCAGGTTGCTGCCGCAAGGTGGAGCATCACTTTGGGCTGGTATCACCTGAGATACAAAAATATCCGCGCCAGACTTCAGCTGCCACCCCCACCCTCTCCCCCTCCTGCCTGAGGAAGAGAGCAAGGCCACTGCCACCTTGGTCTCCCCAGACTCACAGCTGCAGAGCTGGCGGAGGCAAGGGGCGGGGAGCAGGCGGTGGCAGCGCAGTGATGGGTGGGGGTGGGAGGGGGCATTGATGGGTCCCCCTCCACCCCACCCCTTTTTTTGGTTGTTTTCCTATTTAGAAATTTTAAAAAAAAATTTAAAAGGTAAAAAGTAGTTCAAGTTTATAAACAGCAACAAAACAAAAACAAAATGAAAGGTTGGTTTGAAGGACTGCCACTGAATGGCAAAAGGGGAATTCCAAGCCTCCCTGCTCAGCTGGGGGAAGAAGGGGGAGAGGGGGAGAATGGCAACTGGGCGGCTTTTGGGGGTCTTCCTGGTCACAATGGGCCCAAGAAGCTTGTGCTGTGGCCCTGGAGGCTTTTCTTGGGGTGCTCAGGTACAGGAGGGGGGAGGGACTTAATAGTCTCTCTCTCTTTCAAAATGAGTGGCAATAGGCTGGAAACCTGCAGGAAGACCTGCACCAGCAACTGGTACTTCCAGGAAGCCGGGGGAGAGACCTGCCATCATTGCCCTCCCTGACATTTGGCTTTTGCTGCTGCCAGCCTCCTCTGGAGTAAGGTTGTGGGAGTCAGCTGAATGCCATCTGCCCCTCCCCTCCAAACTGCATTAAGCCAGGCTTCTTGGAAGAGCAGTAAGAAACTTTATTGCCAGTAAACTTCCATTTCTGTTTTGTATTTGTGTATTTAATAAGCCTAGGTATTTTTTTGGGGGGGGGGGTAATATTGAATTTATTCTGCATTTGCCAAATTGCTGGGACTATTGTCATTTTGGGGTTTTTACTGACATGCTCTTTATTTCAGTATATTTGGTATACTGTAGGCCGCTTTGGGCTCAGTTCACTGCAGAAAAGCAGCAAACAAATAAACTCAACCAATCAATCATGCTAAAGAAAAAAGCCCAGACAAACTGCAGCAGGGATGTCCCTGTGGCAGGTGGGCTGCGGGGCCCCAGCAGGGGAGAAACCAGAAATAGCAGAACTCTCCTCTCCCCCTCCTCTCCCACACAGCATTAAGCACGTTATTATACAGTTCCCCCTTTTGTTTTTGCAAAATGACCATTGAACAAAAGATAGCACAGAAAGAGAATTCCAACCTTTGTACAGTGTCCTTCAAACCAAATTCACAAATCCATCTAAATGAGTGACCTACGGTCCCTACGTCTCTAAGCTACAGTTCCTATTTTCTTCACATAATACCTGAGTCCGCAAAGCATTACATTCACTTTACCCTGTTTCAAAACCAAACAAGCCGTCAGCGGGCTTGGTTGCGGGAGGCATTAACGACAGCCCAATGAGTTACCTTCTGGCTCACTGCATTAGCCTTTGGCTTGCGCCTGAGTTCAGCCTGGCTCTCCCTGCTCCCAGAGATAAACAGAGGCTTTTGTGTGTCAACGGAGGGATGCTGTGAATGCGGAGGCAAAATGGGGGGGGGGGGGGCTTACACAATGGCCAGCGGAGCGTCCTCTCACACAGCCACCCCCCCTCCTGCACAGGCTGCAATGCCTCTCTCCTTCCTGAGTCAAGTCACCTTTGAAATATATGCAGGAGGGGAGGGGGTGTGGGGACAGCAGAGGGGTCCTGAAAAATCCCATGGTCACAGATCTGTGAGGTTTCTATGAAATGTCGAGTGATGGGCTAGACTCCGCAGTCTTGTGCAATGTATAGAATCCCTGCTACGTAAAAGGAGCAAACCAGAAGGTAATGAATGGGTCAATCAGAGGTATTGTGGACAGCTCTCCCCCCCTCCAAACAAGACAAAACACAAAACACAAAAATAACACCAATGTCCTGGCAGGCAGCACTTTCTAGTTTTGCGACACAGACAACATACAGGCAGACAGACAGAAGGGCAGATAGGGAACGCAGCACTTGCACGCCCCCACCGCCCCTTGAGGTATATCGTGTCAAAGCAGAAGGCTTTCCAAAGTGGCGGGGAGGGGGGGTTACAAATGCTACTTGGACCAATGGGAAAAGCAAAAGGGCAGTGACACCGGTCTGTGACGCACAAAAAGCCACAGAGCGCTGGCCGCAGCAGGGCAATTTACCCGTTTCACCTTGCTGGAATCAGCAAAAGCAGCGTTGAGTGTGGGGAAGTTAAGCAAAGAGAGCGAGCCCTGTGGGTGACATTCCCCCCCACCCACAAAGCAAATGCCAATGGTCCAAAGGAGCTGTAGGCGGGGCTGGCAGTGGGGAGGGGCCTGTGAGTTTCCCTGGTGCTCACTCTGCAGTCGCATTTCCCACTTGCACTTCCCAGGCCAATCTGTATCAGGATCTCCCCTAGAAATATGCCAAGCCTCCAAATGTAAACAGGGTGCAGCGGGGGGCAGCAAACTGCAAGGTTGGGGGGCGCTGACAGTGGCAGCAACACTGGGACTGCCTCTGCGTGTGCTTATGAGACGGGCTGAACAGGTGAGATGGGCTACTTCAGGTCAGTCCTTTCCAGCCTCTGATTGTGCCTGCCAACTGCAGCCGTTAGCCAGTGTGTGGGGCTCCCACCCCCCGCCTGAAGGCCGTAGAGGAAGACACTCACAGAGAAGCCTCTTGCTGTGAGCATCTGTGAAGCATGGAGCTAAGAAGGAGTGTGACATGGGTGGTGGAGGAGGGGCCTCTGGGAACTGGAGAGCCCACTGAGTGTGAATAGGGGAGAGAGCCTCCCACCATGCGAAGACCAATCGCAACCGGGGGAGTCTTGCGAGGGCCCCTTTCTGAAGGCTAAGAATGACAGTTTGAAGGGGTGTCCAGAGGGAACCCGGAAACTCATTTCCCCTTTGAAGGCCACAGAGCTGCCTCCCTGCTTGTCCCAGCTTTCTTTCGCAGGTGGCGGGCAGGGAGAGGGAAAGTCTAGAGCAGACCCCTCAGACTGCATGAGGAAGGGGCTGCCATCTCACCCGCTGAGACTCAGCCATCATCCTTGCAACCTTGCGTTTTTGTGGTAAAGTGAGGGGTTAATGGCTGCTGGATCTGGAGTGCCAAGAGGGACCTCAAGCAGGTGGGGTGTGTATTTGAGGTGCTCTGTGGGCAGCCAATTGAGAAGGGGGGGGAGGAGGGGGGCAGCCACCGCACTTGGCACTTCTCTAGGGGAGAGCAGATTCCGGCCTCCAAGGAATGGCCGACTGCCCCAACATAACGAACACTTTGTGTGTAGGTCCCACAGAAAGAGAGGAGCCCAGCACCTTCTCCTTGAGGTAGTCTTAAGTCATCGGCCCCAGCCTCCAGCCCTGGTAAAAAAAAAGAGGTCTAACCCTAAAAAACACTGTTAACAAACATCTTCACATTCTGTAAACTGTGAGAGGACTCAATGGCTGCATTCGGACGGAATGCTGTGCACGGGGTTGAAGATCATACATTCAACTTTGTCGTGAAATAAATATCATAGGAAAATAGTAAAAAGAACAAGAAAAATAGAGGAAACCAAGCAACCAACCCCACAAAGATTCCTGCCGCAACAGCAAGGCTACCCACTGCCCAGCTGCAGCCATTCCATCAATTGCATGTGCCTCCTCCTCCTCCTCCTCCTCCTACTCCTGAGGGAGGGGGAAAAGAGGCGGCTGCTCACTCTTTGCTCACGCTGGCCTTGCAGGAGTGCAGAACAGCCTTAAAGAGGAGAGGCAGCTGCTCCAACGGGACGTTCACCATTTTCCCTGTCAAGACAAGAACACAATCTTGGTTAGCTGCCCCGTGTCGAAGGCGGCATGAAAGAGCCCTGCCAGGTCAGCCTCACGGGGCCAACCCGAGTCCAGCAGGCTGCTCACCCCAAAGGCAAACCCACAACACTCTCTCCCCCTGCGGCTCCCAGCAGCTGGCATTCAGAAGCATTGCTGCCTTCAGGGTGGCTAGGCTCCACCTCTGCCCCCAAGGGGAGAGGGCTCTTGCGCTCAGGCCCTGCTTCTGGGTTTCCCATGGTGGGCATCTGCTTGGCCCCACGGCCTCCAGGATGAGAGATGAGCTATTAGTTTGTTTCAGCAGCTTGTTTCAGCAACCTCCCTGCCTCCCTTGGAGCTGCCCACCAGCCGCCCTGGACTGCCCTTCTGAAGGTGGGAAGGAGGATCCCACACGCTGGCAGTGCAGCCGGAGAGAAGCGTCTCCCTCCAAGCTTCACGAGGCAGGGGAACCAGAACGACCACTGAGAGAGTCCCACCTGCAATGTATCGGATCTCCGGCAAACACATCATCAGATCTGGGAACCGGTTCGGCTGGTGCGGGTACTTGAACTCCATGAAATCTTGGCAGACGTACCAACACCTCTTGTTCAGCTGCTCCAACTGGGAGGCGTTTGTCAGGCCTCGGATATCTGAGCAGAAGAAGCCACGCTTGTGACGAGTGGGGCAGGAGCAACCGCCCCGTCCCCACTCCCCACCCTCCCGCCAACTGCCACGATGCCGATAAAAGGTGCAGGGGCCGAGAAGGAGAGGAAGGGCCCCAGAAGCAAGTCCCAAGAGCAACTTCTGTTGGTTGGCCATGGGGCAGCTCCTCCAGGAGCTGAGACCAAATCGCGGACAGTCTGGACCGGAGGAGCCTGGGACCTTCAACGGCTGCCGGACTCCGGACTCCCCTGAGCACCAGCCAGTGTGGCCAGCAGATGATGGGATCTGGAGCCCAGCTAAAGAGGGAGGAGAGACCTTGGGAGGGGCCAAGCAAAGTCAATATGCGGGTCTTGTATACTGAATCCACCACAAAGGAAACCCGGGGCTCCATGCACAAGCTGGAGGCAAAGAGGAGGAACCCAACTGGCAGCCGCTTTGCTGGGCCCAGGCAGGCAGCCCTTCCCACAGTGTGGCTGCTGAAACGCCGCCTGTCCGCTGGCTTTGTATGCAAGGCCGTGAAGCAAATCTGACTCTGTGGAAATCCCCCATGGGCCAGGCTGCCCGAACGCAGAAGAGTAAGGGCAAGTAGTAGTAGCAGCAGCAGTAGGTGGGAGAGAGGAAAGGAAACCCCCTGCCTCCCCCTAGAGCCAAGAGCTGGTGTTCCCAACAGACCCCCACACATTTATAGATGTGTCTTGCCAGCCCCACAATGTCTCCAGATGGCAGGAGGAGAGCAAGAGGGTTGATAATCCTGTTTTCTCTTGTCTGTGCGGACAGGGAAAGGAGTTGGCCCCTAGTCCCACAGAAGGAGTGAGAAGTACGAGGCCATAAAAAGGTATTGGGAAATGATTTATAATTAATTGAAAACCATGTTTAAAATTACTTTAACGCCCAAAACCAGAGTCCTTTCTGTTGGGGATAATTCAGACTGAAATTCCCAGGTGTCAGAAAAGGATATTTACGTACGCTACTACTGCGGCCCATGTTTTGTTAGCCCAAAAATGGAAAATGAGCGAGGTGCCAACCAAAGGAGATTGGCAACTTCAGTTGACAGAATACGCACAACTTGCAGACTTAACATATAGAATAGGGGAACAGAAAGAGCTTATACTTAAAGAAGATTGGACAACATTTACTGAATATATGGAAAATATAGGGAAAATAATTGTGTGTAGCTGAAAATGCTGTCCGCATTAAGATAAATTCAACAGCGTAAATAAGTTTGGATGGATGTAAATAATGGAAAACTTGATGGGTATATTTTTGGTAAAATATGCAGGGATCTAAGATATGGAATGAAACACGGAAAGCGAAGAAGGGAAGTCATTGAGATCTTAAGTATGTAAAATGTTTATCTGAAATTGTAAAGCAGAAAATTTAATAAAAATCACATTAAAGAGAGAGAGAGAAGTTTGTGGTGGGGCTTTCCCAATTCCAGCTGCCAAGGGCCGGTCCCAGCTCCGCTCGAAGGGAACAGGGGCTGCAGTTCCTACAATGTCCATTCCAGTCCATGCCAGAGACACCGGGCGCACAGGCTGAGCGAGGGAGAGGAGGTCACAATATTGATTATGAATTATTGAGTGGGGGAGATATGAATTTTACGCCTTGTTATGCGATCAAAGAAAACACGACAACGGCCCACAGTTTATTATTTTCATTTACCACCCTATGCCTGGAGGTCTCAGGGCGGTTCCCAGATGGTCTTTAACACCCACCAGATTGGCAGAAATGTCAAAAAAAATATGTTCTGTTGTCTCTGTCTGCTTCTCCTCCGATTGAACCAATCGGTTAGTAAATATGTCTCAAAGGAGAATAAAAATCAAGTTCAGATTAAGTCCATTAAGCCCACTGAGCTGGAAAGTTTTTAAATGTCAGAACGTGCAGAAAAAGATTAACCAGAAAAACCCTGAATAATGTTTTTGAAGAAGTGTGCATGCACACGAAAGCTCATGCCAATAACAAACTTAGCTGGTCTCTAAGGTGCTACTGGAAGGAATTTTTTAATTTTGTTTTGACTATGGCAAGCCAACACAGCTACCTACCTGTAACTAAAAAATAATAATAAAAAAAAAAAATCCAGAGGCTGTAATTAATTTCCCTCTCCTGTTCACAAATTGCAATCTTCAGCGCTTGTCCTCGGAGAATGGAAGCTGACTTCCTTTTTTCACCTTCCGTTCCCCCCCCACCCCAATTTTTAATTAATCCTAATTTAATGTCCTCAAGTTTTGGATTTAGTTTTACCTTGTTTGAAGATCTGCTTCCTTTTGGCAGCAGCCAGTGACTTTGGCTGGCAGGTGCAATTTTGCAATAATGAATTGAAAAAGATACTTTCCCCGAAAGACTTGAGATGGAGGATAGTAACAACAGAGGTCCCCCCAAAAAACAAAAGGGTTTACTGTGCTACTATACGCCTCCGCTACAGCTAGAACGTAGTGTGTGCACGCTCAGAGGATGACCTCCAAACCACCCTAAATATCTTTGCAGAAGCTTATGAAAAGCTTGGCCTATCACTCAACATCCCAAAAACCAAAGTGCTGCACCAACAAGCACAAAATAACCCCTCTGCAGTGCCACAAATCCAACTCAATGGTGTAACATTGGAAAATGTCAATCACTTCTCCTACCTAGGCAGTTATCTTTCCACAAGGGCCAACATTGATGGCAAAATCCAGAATCGCTTGAGCTCTGCGAGTACGGCTTTCTCCCGATTGAAGTGCAGAGTGTTTGAGGACCGGGACATTCGCAGGAAAACCAAAATGCTTGTTTACAAAGCTACTGTACTACCAGCCTTACCAAATGCTTGTGAAACATGGACCACCTATAAACGCCATCTCCAACTCCTTGAAAGATTCCATAAACAGTGTCTCTGAAAAATTTTACACATCACTTGGGAAAATAGGTGAACTAATATCAGTGTACTGGAAGACGCAAATATCACCAGTGTTGAGGCAATGATTCTTCAACATCAACTTTGTTGGACCGGTCATGTTGTGCGGATGCCTGATGGATCGTCTTCCAAAGCAACTACCCTATTCCGAACTTAAAAATGGAAAGCGTAATTCTGGTGGTCAACAAAAGAGGTTTAAAGACTATCTCAAGGAAAATCTTAAAAAATGTAGTATAAACACTGACAACTGGGAAACACTTGCCTGCGAGCACTCCAGTTGGAGAACAGTCTTGACCAAAGGTGTCATGGGCTTTAAAGACACTCAAACTCAGGACGCAAGGGAGAAACGTGCTAAGAGGAAGGCACGCCTGGTAAATCCACACTGTGATCAACTCCCGCCCGGAAACTAATGTCCCCACTGTGGAAGGACGTGTGGATCCAGAATTGGCCTCCACAGTCACTTACGGACTCATTGTTAACACCTTTTTATGGAAGACAATCTTACTCGGCTACAACTGATCGCTAAAGAAGAAGAAGAAGAAAAAGAAGAAGAAGAAGAAGGGGAGAAGATTGGCACAAATCTAGTACCCACTAAGGAAGAATGGCAGTGTAAAATGTTTGAACCTGTTGATGAACAGGGTAAGAGAAAACGAAGACAAGGAATCTAAGAAGGAATGGATAATGTTCATGTACTATTTCAAGAACTGGCACAGACAAATAACGTAGCTTAGCAGGCTTTGTGTATATCCAGCCAAGTTGAAATTGATAAAAGAGTATTGATTCGGTAACAAATGGGATGGTCGGAAAGGGAGCAGGAAAAGTGTGGAAGGGAAGTTGTAGGGACGCGGGTGACGCTGTGGTCTAAACCATGAATAGGCAAACTCGGCCTTCCAAATGTTTTGGGACTAAACTCCCATCACCCCTAACTAGCTGGATCAGTGGTCAGGGATAATGGGATTTGTAGTCTCCAAACATCTGGATGGCTGAGTTTGCCTATGCCTGGTCTAAACCACTGAGCCTAGGACTTGCCGATCGGAAGGTTGGCGGTTCGAATCCCTGCGATGGGGTGAGCTCCCATTGCTCGGTCCCTGCTCCTGCCCACCTAGAGGTTTGAAAGCACGTCCAAAGTGCAAGTAGATGAATAGGTACCGCACTGGTGGGAAGGTAAACGGTGTTTCCATGTGCTGCTCTGGTTCGCCAGAAGTGGCTTAGTCCTTCTGCCCACATACCCGGAACCTGTCTGCGGACAAACGCCAGCTCCCTAGGCCTATAGAGATGGAGCGCGCAACCCCAGAGTTGTCCTTTCGGAAAGGGATTCGAACTCGGATTCCGCAGGCCCAAGTGAGGTCCCGGATCCACTCTCAGCTGAGGGCTGAGCACAGATGTGGCCTCTCCCCACTCTCACGCGCACACCTGCCCTTCCGTAAGGTTCAGGAGGGAGACGGTCCATGTGGGTCTGTTGTTCCGCCTGGGACCCCAAAATATGGGATGAAGTAGATCCCTTCTGCACAGGCAAAGTGGCCATGCTTCAAATCATACGCACACTCACCCGCAGGTAAGCCCCACTGCACTCTACGGGGCTTACCTGGTAGGAAGTTGGAAGTGGGGCAGAGGGAGGGAAGGGAGTTTTCTGTGAACCGCCCTTAGACCACTGGGTGTAAGGCAGTATATAAATTCAGTTGATGATGATGATAATAATAATAATAGTAATAATATGCACTGTTCCTGTTTTTTGAAAATGCAAGTAAAAAAAGAGAGAGGGCGCCTCCTGCGGAGGCAGGAAGGGAAGCCCCCCCCCCCCGACGCTCACCTTGGTTGAGGAAGTTGATGGCTTTCATGCAGGCGTATTCCTCCTTGCCGACCTTGAGCTGGCCAAACTTGCGGTACAGGTAGATAAGCCGTTCCATCACCTCCATCCCTTCTTCGCTGAACCTGTAGAGGGGAGGCGGGCAGGGAGGGAGGGAGGGGGTTTGGTGTCAGGCGAGCCCTCCAGGAACTACCCAAGATCCCGTTCCAGAACTGCCCTGAGACCTCCAGGTATAGGACGGTATTAAATTCAACAAATAAATCATCATCATCATCATCATCTGGGTTATGAAGGCGCCCTAAAGACGTTAAAGCAAAGATTATGGGATAATGCACACAGTGACTTGCGATCTCGATCACACGCAGTCTGTCGTCTGCTGGAGTAGGAGTACAAGATGGGCATGTCTTTAAGTTAACATCTTGCATTAAAAACCTGACAGTACCCAAATTATCGAAGGCTTTTCACCAAAGCCAGAATAAACATCTTTCCTTCTGCAGTGTTTGGATGGCAGGTTGAGAGGAGTTCCCTACCAGGACAGACTTTGCTCGTGTGCTCAAGACATCGATTCCATAAAACATATTTTGCTGCACGGTGCAAAATATGAGCAAACCAGGGCTGAACTGATATTCCTCTTGCTGGTACCTTTTCCCGGGAAAATCAGGAGCTCACTATGTCAGGTTCCTCTTGGAAGACTGAACAAATGCCAGAACATCAGCAGTGGCAAGGTTCTTATCGGTGGTTGTGAGAACCAAGGATCCCTACTCTTTTGAACAAAACGCTCGTTTAACCTGCAGGCAGGCTGTCTGAATTGTGCATTGCTTTGTAACTATTTGTCAGGTCTCAGAACGTAATCAAGATTGATTTGAATAATAATAACAATTTATTATTTATACGCCGCCCATCTGGCTGGGTTTCCCCAGCCACTCTGGGTGGCTTCCAACAAAACACTAAAATACAATTACCTATTAAACAATAAAAGCTTCCCTAAACAGGGCTGCCTTCAGATGTCTTCTAAAAGTTTAGTAATTCTTTTTTTCTTTGACATCTGGTGGGAGGGCGTTCCACAGGGCAGGTGCCACTACCAAGAAGGCCCTCTGCCTGGTTCCCTGTGACTTGGCTTCTTGTAGCGAGGGAACCGCCAGAAGGCCCTCAGAGCTGGACCTCAGTGTCCGGGCTGAACGATGGGGGTGGAGACCGGTGTTATATGGTCTCAGCGGCCGCTCCCAGTCACCAATCTGGCTGCCGCATTCTGGATTAGTTGTAGTTTCCGGGTCACCTTCAAAGGTAACCCCACATAGATTGAATTGCAGTAGTCCAAGCGGGAGATAACCAGAGTACGCACTACTCTGGGCAGGTAGGGTCTCCGCTTGCGTACCAGATGGAGCTGGTAAACAGCTGCCCTGGACACAGAATTGACCTGTGCCTCCATGGACAGCTGTGAGAATGACTCCCAGGCTGCGCACCTGGTCCTTCAGGGGCACAGTTATCCCATTCAGGACCAGGGAGTCCTCCACACCCGCCCGCCTCCTGTCCCCCCAAAACAGTACTTCTGTCTTGTCAGGATTCAATCTGTTAGCCGTTGAGCTGCAAAGGTGGCCCCTGCGAGGAACCATCCCTGTCAAGAAATTCCACCAGCTCGGCTCCGAGGTCCCCAAGTCTGGGCGGGGAGAGACGCTTAACCCAGCTCGGATTCACGCTCTTTGGGTGAAGCTGGGAACTGACTCGCAAGGAGGCTGGGGAGGGAGCAGCAGCAGGAGACAGGGGCACAGGGTCCTAAGGAAGCCCGCTTGTCCGCAAGGCACGGGAACAAAAGCCCCCCTGCTGCCTTCGCATGGATGCGACAGCGTGCGTACAGAAAGGGGGGAGCGTCGCAGCTGCACATGCAAGTGGGCCCCAGGTTTTGATCCTCTTTAGCCTCGCCCTAGGCTGGCCACAGAACAACCGATGGGTTCAAAATTGGGAAAGGAGTAGCCCCAAACCAAACTTGAACCAATTTTTTTTACAATTTAGGCAGAATATTTGGACTAATGGACACGTATTTGTATAATCTGGAACATTTAATGTGATTTCCCAGTAGTGAGAGCTGGACCAACAAGAAGGCTGATCGCTGAAGAATGGATGCTTTCGGATTCTGGTGCTGGAGGAGACTCTTGAGAGTCCCATGGACTGCAAGAAGATCAAACGTATCCATTCTGAAGGAAATCAGCCCTGAGTGCTCACTGGAAGGACAGATCCTGAAGCTGAGGCTCCAGTACTTTGGCCACCTCATGAGAAGAATAGACTCTCTGGAAAAGACCCTGATGTTGGGAAAGATGGAGGGCACAAGGAGAAGGGGATGACAGAGGACGAGATGGTGGGACAGTGTTCTTGAAGCTGCCAGCATGAGTTTGACGAAACAGCGGAAGGCAGTGAAAGACAGGAGTGCCTGGCGTGCTCTGGTCCAGGGGGTCACAAAGAGTCAGACACAACTCAACAACAACAACAACAAGAACAACGCAATTTGATTGGATGGTTAAAATGGGGAACTTAATAAAAATGATTTTAAAAAATTTAAAAATTGGAAAAGGAGTACAACCAGGCTGTACATTGTCTCCCTGCTTATTTAAGTTATATACAGAATTCATCACGCAAAGGCTGGACTGGATGAAGCCCAAGCCGGAAGAAATAGCAGCAACCTCAAATACGCAAATGACACAACTTTGATGGCAGAAGGTGAGAAAGGATTAAAGGACCTCTTAATGAGGGTGAAAAAGGAGAGCGCAAAATATGGTCTGAAGCTCAGCCTCAAAAATACTAAGATCATGGCCACTGGGCCCATCACCTCCTGGCAAATAGAAAGGGAAGAAATGGAGGCAGTGAGAGATTTTACTTTCTTGGGCTCCATGATCACTGCAGATGGCGACAGCAGCCACGAAATTAAAAGACGCCTGCTTCTTGGGAGAAAAGCAATGACAAACCTAGACAGCATCTTACAAAGCAGAGACATCACCTTGCCAACAAAGGTCTGTATAGTTCAAGCTATGGTTTTCCCAGTAGTGATGTATGGAAGTGAGCTAGACCATAAAGAAGACTGACCGCCGAAGATACGTTGGTGAAGAAGATTTAGAGACTTTGCCATTTCTGCCCATAAATAGCGTTTAGCGCCTTTGTTATTGGCCATCACACTGCGTTTTTTTGTTCGGCTCGTCCATATTGCAACATGGGGGGCTGTTTACGGATTATTGGCAAGACTTTCACTGGCAGCATCCCAACGCAACACCGGACCCGAAACGAGACGGGGCAGGTCTCAATGCTTAGATTGACTTTAGTTCGTTTTTATAATTTTTTTCTTTTAAAAAAAAATAATTTCTATTGAATGGTTTTCTGTTACCAAAAACAAGACAACCATACCACCACTAAATATAATTTAAGAAATAAAAATGACGTACATCAATATTGAGCTGGTTACTTGTTATCTACCATCTTATTTCCTCCCAAACCTTCCATACGAAAACACACATATGTACACACACACACAGACAAAATGATAATAACGAAAGGAAATATTTCCCCTCCTTTTATCTTACAAAACCCTTTCTTCAACTTTGACTTCCTGTCAAGTCCCTTTGCATATATTTTATCTCACAACTGAATGTACACCAAACAATAAACCTTTCTATATCAATTTTCCAAGCCGTTCTGAAAACATAATAAATCCTTAATTGTTGTCCACCTTTAGTTCCTTTATCACTCGAATGCCAGCACCGAGTCAAAACTATTCTTGTATTTTTGAACCTATAATTTTCTACAACTCCGTTCAATATCATTTTTGTTTTTTGTTTTTTTAAACTTTTACCAATCCCACCCATTGTTTGAACAATGGCCTGTCTCTTTTACAAAAAAAATTCACCCTTTATTATATAAACCTGTGATTGGAAACACCCAGTATTAGTCTTTAACATCAGCAGTAACATCTAGACCCTGGGAGTGTTTCAGTCCCGTTCTTGAGTCTGTTTAAAATCTAAAACGGCTTTATCTTATATTCCTTTCTTTGAATTTGTGCCATTTCGGTTTTTAAACCTTTTTTAAAAAGCAGCACTAGAATTAACCTTTATTACTGTGCTTTGCTTTCTTCAAGCTGGGCTTTGTTTAAAACTTGCCATTCAGCTTTTCTGTAAATTCAGTGTTGGAAACCGTACTTTTTGAGTCCTCAATCCTTTATTACTGTGTTTTGCTTTACCTAGGTCGAACTAGGATTATAATACTTCAGAATTTGGGGGGGGGGGGGTTACCCCTTTTTTTGAATTTGGGTCACTTAAAAGTTTATGATTTTTCCGTTTCCTTCTGAGGAAACGGAATCCTTCAGCGAAACGAGGTTTTGTAGCCGGTATCCCGTTAAGGCTTTCTTCAATTTTAGGGTTTTTCTAATTTTCCCCTTAAACTTTCCAATTTTTTATTATTTAGTTTATTTCCGCAAGGCAATGTTTCTAGCAGGTCACTTCTCATGTTGGGGTTTTTCACGGCATTTCGTTTGTTTTGTGCCATTTCTCAGTTCCGCAAAAAAACAAATGAAATGCCGTGAAAATCCCTGAAACTAGAAGTAACCGACTATGAAGTTAGATTAAATAACAAAAATCAAGTTAAAGGAAAAAATTAACCTAGAATTAAACAAAGACTTCACGAGATGCCGGCTACAAAAACTCGTTTCACTGAACTAATCAGTTTCCTCAGAAGGATATAAAGAAATTATAAACCTTAAATGGTTTCAAACAAAGAGCAGGGCTGAAACGCTTCCCTGAGTTTACAAAAAAGGTAGGAAAACCTCAGTGACAAGTTTTATACATAGCCCTATTTAAGAGAGCCAAGCAGTAGTAATAAGAAATTGAGGACTCGGCTATAAAAATTCTAGTATTGCCTTTACAAAAGGGTTTTAATAAAAACTTACAAAGGAATAAGAGATAAGCTGTAAGTTTCAAACAAACTCAAAAACAGGGATGAAAAGCTCCTGACTGCTGATGTTAAAGACTGATATAGGGTGTTTCCAATCACAGGTTTTTATACCGTAAGGCGAAAGAAGGGACAGACCATCTAGTTCAAGAAAGGGCGGGATTGCTAAAGTTTGTAAAAAATAACCAGAATAATATTAAATAGAGTTGTAAGAAATTATTACAAGAAAGAACAAAAGCCGATAGAAGAATTGAGACCTGACGGAATTAAGGAACCAAATCTAAAAATCCAATACATTTCTTTCCGTAGCAATTTATTTCTCAAAATATCTGCATTTATCTCAGGAGTTTGAGGTTTATAAATGATCAACCATCTGAAATCTGTTGCCTTACGTTTAGCATCTAAGAAGTGAGACGTAAGGGGTGCTTCCATAACGTAACGTTATGTAAAGGTAATGTTTCTGGCCGGTTGCTTCTCATTTTGGGGATTTTCACAGCATTTTCTCAGTTCCGCGGCTGTCTTCCCACCCCCCACCCCATCAGCCTCACCTGTGGAGCTCCTCGTCGGACGGGGAGTACTTGGCGGTGACATCAGCCAGGTCTCCGAAAATCTGGGGGCCGTAGATGGTCAGCGAGGAGAGGAGGGCCAACTCCTGCCAGGTGGAGCCCAGGAGACAGGTGTAGTCCTTGATGGATAGCTCGCCAAAGAAGGGCAACTTCTTGACCCAGGCGATCTGGCGGAAAAGGAGCTCATCGGCCAGGCGGCACAGCAGTGCGAAGAGCTCCGACTGGGTCACTTTGTACCTGCGGGAGGGAGAGCGGTTAGAGGACCAAAGCAAGAGCCGGTTATGGGCCCACCTGCCGTCGTCACGTTCGCACCGTTTAATACCACCCTTCCGTGGGTTTCTTTTTCACGGGTCTGCTTTGCATTCTTTAAAGGTGGCGCTGTGGGTTAAACCACTGAGCCTAGGGCGGTCAGTTCAAATCCTGTCGCTCGGTCCCTGCTCCCGCCAACCTAGTGGTTTGAAAGCACATCAAAAGTCCAAGTGGATCAATAGGTCCCGCTCCGGAGGGAAGGTGAACGGCGTTTCCGTGCGCTGGCTGCCCTGGTTTGCCAGAAGCGGCTCTGTCCCCACCCCCGTGTGACGAGGCTCCCTGCTGTGCTGCTCTGAGGGGGCCCCCAGCGGGCAGAAAGGGGGGTGCGCCACTCACCCGTCTTCGATGAGCATGGGGGTGCCGAGGGGGTCCAAGTCCTCGGCCGAGACCAGCTGGCTGATGAGGAGAGCGGGGGCCTGGGGGTCGAGGCTCCGGGGGGGCGGGGGCAGCAGGGCCGAGTGCGCCGGGCAGCTCTGAAGGTGCGGGAGGTATTGGTAGGGGGCAGGCCCTGGGCCCCCCAGGTATGGATCCCTGAGTGCGGCAAATCCGTTCAGCTCGACAGATCTGCTGGAAGAGGCAAGGCGGGGGTTAAGAGGCAGGGGAAGGGGGAGCGCAGGAAATGGAAGAGGGGGTCAGAGCTTCCACCATTCCATGCCATGATTGATTGAGTGAATCAATATATCACCCTATACCAGCGATGGCCAGACTTGGGGATATTTTGGGACTACAATTCCCATCATCCCTGTCCTGGGAGCTAGGGATGATGGGAGTCAAATATGGCCTTCCAGCTGTTTGGGGACTACAATTCCCATCATCCCTGGCCCTCCAGTTGTTTGGGGACTACAATTCCCATCATCCCTGACCCACTGGTCCTGTGAGCTAGGGATGATGGGAGTCAAACGTGGCCCCCCAGCTGTTTGGGGACTACAATTCCCATCATCCCTGGCCCCCCAGCTGTTTGGGGACTACAATTCCCATCATCCCTGACCCACTGGTCCTGTGAGATAGGGATGATGGGAGTCAAACGTGGCCCCCCAGCTCTTTGGGGACTACAATTCCCATCATCCCTGACCCACTGGTCCTGCGAGCTAGGGATGATGGGAGTCAAACGTGGCCCCCCAGCTGTTTGGCGACTACAATTCCCATCATCCCTGGTATGGATAAGAACCTTATGCACTTGGCTAAGACTTAACGACTCGCCGGTTGGACTACTTTCCCTGATGCTTCTTGACAAATTCCAATCTAGTTGGCTGAAGGGCATTCTCAGAAAATTGGCCACACATGGTCTCTCCCCAGAGTATTTATTAAGTTTAGAAAGGGGAAGGGCCAAGAATATAATTAAAGAAAGACTCAGGGACATTGAAGCCCAAAATGACTTTAGTCAACTTCCGATAACTCATAAACTCCTATTCGATTCCCAAAGCCCCCATCTAGCAAACTATCTCAAAGTTCTAGACAACGCTAAACACCGATGGGCATTTACCGCTTTAACGCTCTCCCTTCAGCTCTTCTAGAGGGAAGATACAACAAAATACCGATCGAACAAAGATTATGTCCCTGTAACAGCAACGAAATTGAAACCATCGGGCACGTCATCTTATATTGCCCATTATATCGAGACTCAAGAAAAGAGCTGATCGAGCCGATTCTGAGGAAAATACCTCGTAGTACAGACGACACCTATATCAGACACCTCTTAGCTGACAAAGACCCCGAAATCAACAGGCCAGTGGCGAAGTACTGTTACATTGCAACAAGAATAAGACGAGCAATGATAAACAGTAGTGACATTTGAATTGAATCCTTAAAACCTTAAAAGTCGAAACTTGGTCACAAACATAAGCACCAATTTTGTGATTTGGCCATATCTCCACTGTTATCTGTAGTACAATAGTACTTATATTGCCATATTTTATTTTATAAATTGCTTGCTGGTCATTGACCGTATTAAAGATATTTGATTTACAATTCCCATCATCCCTAACCACTGGCCCGATGAGCTAGGGATGATGGGAGTCAAACGTGGCCCCCCAGCTGTTTGGGGACTACAATTCCCATCATCCCTGACCCACTGGTCCTGCGAGCTAGGGATGATGGGAGTTGTAGTCCAGAAAAGAGCTGGAGGGCATCTGGCCCGCAGTGCCCTATACAGTTCACGAAACAAAATCAAAATATAAAACTGCATTTATATTCAGTGTTAGCCGCCCTGAACCCGGTCTCGGCTGGGGCATAAATAAAAATTTATTATTACATAATTATTATTATATTTATTAGTGGGTTTATATATTATAAACCCAAAACGTTATTGCCGTAATTTGTTATTTCCCCAGCCACTCTGGGCAGCCCCATGTAATCAGCATGAAAACATATAATCAACATGAAAACCCCCCAAACCCCCACTTTATTAACTATTATTATTAACAATAATCTACCGTAGTTTTCGCTCCATAACACGCGTTTTTTTCCTCCTAGAAAGTAAGGGGAAATGTCTGTACGTGTTACGGAGCGAATGCTTCCCTCTTCCTCCGTGGTTTCCAGCGGGAGAAGAGCCGCTGAGTGGGGAGGAGAGAGGGACAGAGTGCCTGCTTCTTTAAAGGAGCAAAGCGGGAGGGGAGAGGAGCCGCTTACACGAGTGTAAGCGGCTCCTGTACGGTTGGCTCCTTTAAAGCAAGCAGGCTCTCTGTATCTCTCTTGTCCCCACCCAGCGGCGCTTTGCTGGAAATAGCAGGAAAGATTTTCAGCTTGCTAAGGGGGGGGGAGGAGGGAGAGAAGCAGAGCCTGCTTGCTTTAAAGGAGCAAAGCGGGAGAGGAGCCGCTTACACAAGTGTAAACGGCTCCTGTCCGGTTGGCTCCTTTAAAGCAAAAAGCAAGCAGGCTCTCTGTATCTCTCTCCTCCCGCTTTGCTTTAAGCTCGCTAAGGGCGGGGGGAGGGGGCGGGGAGGAGGGAGAGAAGCAGAACCTGCTTGCTTTAAAGGAGCCTACCGGACAGGAGCCGCTTACACGAGTGTAAGCGGCTCCTGTCCGATAGGCTCTTTTAAAGCAAGCAGGCTCTCTGTCCCTCCAGCAAAGTTTTTCAGCTCGCTAAGGGGGGGGGGGAGGGAGAGGGAGAGAAGCAGAGCCTGCTCCACGCGTGTTCCTTGTCCCTTGAGTTCTTTTCCTTCCCTCCCCACTTAAAACGTGGTTACAAAGCACAGATCCACATGAACCCTCAGGATTTTTGCACTGGGTCACCCCAAATTCACCATCAGATCACATAGCATGTCCATGGCTACAGTTTGCACCAAAAAAATCACGCACCCACTGTTGCCTGGGGCTGCAGTGGTGCAAAAACGTGGTTACAAACATGGATCCACATGCATCCTCAGGATTTTTGCATTGGGCTACCCCTAACTCACCGTCAGATCACATGTCTGTGGCCACAGCATGAACCACAAAAATCATACATCCACTGTTTCGTTTAGAATATTTTTTTTCTTGTTTTCCTCCTCTAAAAACTACATGCGTGTTATGGCCGGGTGCGTGTTATCGAGCGAAAAATACGGTATATAAAACCACAAAATACCTAATCAAAATAAAAACGACCCAATAGCCCTCCCAAAACCCACTGGAGACCGGTCTGAGCATCTTCCCCCAGCCCCCCACCTTGAAGACGGTAATTGAGACCCCTGGGGACATAAATTTAATAAATAATGTTAATAACCAACGTGCCGATTGCACCCCGGTAGGCTACCGGGCCCGAGTGCGAGAACTGCCTCCTGACCCCCCCGACTCCCGTTCTGGTCTGGCCCAAGATCTTTTCATCGCCCCCCGTGTACCACCTTGAAGATGGAGCCAAGACCCCCAGGTATATAAATTTAATAATAATAAAATTAATAAGTAATATTAATAATCAATGTGCACCCCGGTGAGCTACCAGACCCAAATGCGAGAACCGCCTCCCGACACCCACACACCGGTCTCATACAGCCTGAGAACTTCCCCACCCCCATGTCGAGACCCCCGGGTATATAAATTTAATAAATCAACAAGCTGATTGCACCCCAGCAGGGTACCGGGCCCGAGTGCGAGAATCGCCTCCCGACCCCCGTTCTCGTCTGGCCCGAGAACCTTTCCCCGCCCCCCCAACGTCCCACCTTGACGACGGCGTTGAGACGGGCGAGGGCTGGTTGCTCTCTGAGACCCCATTTCCAGGGGAGCTGTTGTCGCTGTCTCCGTTGTTGCTCCATGAGATGTTGGCCTCGCCTTCGAATTCCTGCCCAGACATGATCCTCTCGATTTCCTCCTCAGAGATCTGCGGGGGAGGGTGAGAAGGAGAAGAGGGACACGCACACGCCCCGGCCTTTACTCAAGCCGGCCCCCTCCAAGGGTCGAGCGGCCAGCGAGCCGAAGCGAAGAATGGGTTCTCAGGGCTGTGCCACGCCAGCTCCCTGCCAGCCTTTGAGCTGCTACCCTGCCGTCCCCTTTGGTGGCGGTGGAGCGAGGTGTGTTCAGCGCTCAGCCGAGGACACCCTTTGCCAGAAGGCTCCTCCTGCTCTTTCACCAGTCGGCTCAAGTGGGTTTTTTATTCCAGCAACGGCCTTGAAAGCGCCTTAGCAACGTCCTTTGAACACCCTCTCCCAGAAAGCTCCTCCTGTTCTTTCACCTGTCGGCTCAAGCGGGTTTTTATTCCAGCAACGGCCTTGCAAGGGCCTTAGCAACGTCCTTTGGACACTGTAAGGCTGCTGCAGCAAAACTATATTTATAAATAGCACCTAGTTTTTGGAGGAGGAAAACAAGAAAAAAAATATTCTGAATCTCAGAAGCCAGAACGGATCACATTCACAACCCGAGCGTCCACTGTATGGTTTTTTCTGCCAGGAACTGGCTGTTTTGGGGGCCGCTTATCTACAAATATCGTTACATATATATAACATATGTATATGTTGTTTTGCTGCAACAGCCTTACAACGTCCCGAGGGTAACGACATGGGTTTTTTCTGCTTTTGGGGGCTGCTTATCTACAAATAACATTTCTTACAGATTTTTAAATGATGCTTTTCTGCTAGCGTGCGGCTAAAAAGACAGAACGGAAATTACCTCGGATCCCTTTCATGGAAATGAATTCTCTCCCCTGATCGCTCCAAAAATCACAGGCCCCCTTCAGCTCAGACGTTTCCCAGGAAAAAGGGGGCAGCCAGGCCAACTCTCTGGGGACCCCCGTTACCTGGATTCTCCAGCCATGATTTGTGGGGAGAATCCACGGCACAGCTTGCCAGAGGGCGAGGCCAGAGACTCCCCAAAGGTGCCGTTGCGCATTCCCACCGTGGCCCCCTGTCCCCGGAAAAACACCGCGGCCTGGCAAGAGCCGTTGGGCGCCTTCTCTTGGCCAGGACCTAAACTGCCCGGAGTTTCGCAAGACCTCTCCGGGCAAGCCACCCCACCCGCCAAGCGGACGTTCCCCGGGCGGCTTCGGAAACTGCGGCGCGGCCAGCTTTCTGGAGGGCTCGGCACGGACCAAAGGGCTGGTGCTGGCTTTGGGAGAAGCAGCTCCCGGGGAGCTGGCTGGGGCGGGCAAGGGCGGCAGGACCGGGAGGCAGGAGCGCCGACGCAGCCCAAGGTCTGGCCGCCAGCAGCGTTCTGGAAAAGGGCCCCCTCCCTGACCCAAGCGGACACAAAAACGGGGGGAGGCGGCGAGAAAATGTGCCAACCGGGGTAGGCTCGGTGCTCTCCTGTGGCCCTCCGGATGTTGGGGCCTACAACTCCCAGGATCCCTAGCTAACGGGAGCGGCGGCGAGGGAGGATGGGAATTGTAGTCCCAAACTGTGCTGCCAAATACAGCAGTTTTTTCCAAGGAGATCAGGACAAAAGGGATGAGGAGGTGGAAGAGGAACCGAAACAGTTTTATTAACAAATAAATGGAAGATGGAATTAAGGATGAACAACCGATCTTCTCCCAAAGACGATGGCTCCCGGGCACCCAGGACAAGCACATGAACGGAACCAGGCAAGGGATAAGAACGTTGTCCTGGTTTCTAATCCATAATTGACTTCCGACTTTTGCTCAATGATTGAAACGAAGACATCCACGACGAATCTGGATTATGTTAACTTATCTCTACTCATAAACTCTTATAATTCTGTAATGAATTATTGTGTTCTACGTATTTTTATGAGTTTGAGTTTGCAATCTCCACTGAAGTTTGTAATCCTTGTCAGAATGCGTACTTTTGAATGGATTAGTTTTTGTTCCTATCGAGTATTGATTTGCTTTTCTTCCTGGACGTCATCAAGGGCACCTGGTGTGACTCGTGATTAGCCCAGGACCCTGAGATGGAATTAATACAGAGCGGCTGAGAGCCTCCCTGCAGCCGGCACTTGCAACACAGAAGAACCCAATCCTTCGGGTGAGGGTCTTCCACCTCTTCTGGACATTTTTATCCCTTGCCAGGTTCCGTTCACGCGCCCGTACTGGGTGCCCAGGAACAGTCGACTTTGGGGAAAGATCGGTCGTTCGTCGTTAATTCCGTCTTGGGGTCCGGGGCTGACCATGAGTGGGGTCCCCTGGATGACATCAAGGCAGGCTATAAAAGCCGTAAGGTGGGAGGGGCTTCTACCCAAATCAAAGGACCCAATGGTGGGAGACCCGACGGCTGGGGCCTCTGTCCTGCTGCTCTACCTGGGGGGCTCTGGGCAACTGAAGGGGAGATTGGGTAGCCCCTGTCGGGTAGGTTTTATTTGTTAATAAAACTGCTTCGCTTCCCTTTCCGCCTCCTCATTCCTTTTGTCCCGATAATCCTTGGAAAGAACTGCTCTATTTGGCAGCACGCGAACATCGGGAGGGCCGAAGGTTTTGGGGGGTGCCTACTTGAGAGAAACCCAACGGCCGCTCACCTGGACAGGTCCGATGCTCTTGTTCCTGCCTCCGGGCATGCCATCTTCGCGAATTGCTTGAAAAACAAGAAGGCAGCGAGAGCAGATGGTTAGGGACTGGCCCACGGGCACCCCAGCCTCCCCCCGCCCGTTGCCACGGGAGGGGCGGGCGGGGTGGGCCACCCGGGAACTGAAGGTTGGGGCTGCCTGATTAAAATGGATAAGGAACCACAAAGGGGGGGGGAAGCCTAATACGCATTAGCATTGGAAGTCCGTGACCGCGACAAAAACGGAAAATAAATTTATATATATTTTTAATTGTAAAGAAGTCGAAATGGCGCTCAGAGGCACCGAAGGGAAAGGCCAACAAGCTGGACTGAAGCAGGAGAGGAAAAACGGGCCAGCAGGCAAGGATCGTCTCCGTGGCACAGGGCCCATAATTCTCAGATTTCAGTTGATCCGGCCAACGGATCCTTGGAAGAGAAAGCGGAGGAAAAGAATGGTGCCTGTAACTTTCGGATTTCCGAAATCCGAGAGTTATGGGCACCATTCTTTCACGCCGGTTTCTCTCCCGAGGATCTGTTGGCCGGATCACCTGAAATTCGAGAGAAATCGGAGCGAAAGAATGGTGCCCATAACTCTCAGATTTTGGGCGATCCAGCCAACCGATCCTCAGGAGAGAAAGTGGGGGCGGTTTGGCCTCTGCCTGTGGGCCAGTGATCCAAGCAGGCTCCCCCTAGTGGTTGCGCTCTAGGACTGCGGCTGCTCTCTCCCTGGCCGCCGCTGCCCCCCAATCCTGTGCCCCTCGCCCTTCGGTCCTGGCCAGCACAGCCCTTCGGTCTCAGCCGCAGCGGCAAACGACCCCGCCCAAAAAAGCCCGGTGCCCCGGGAGGGGAGACAATCCGCTTCGCAGCCTTTCGCACGCGGCTCCTGATCCCCTGCCCATTTTTTGCAGGGGGGAACCGCGGCGACGAAACAACGCGTGGGTTTCGCTTCCACGCCATTCCCTGCGAAACGAGCAAGGGCCTCTGGGTTCACATCCAGGACTCGGCTGCAAGGCAAGGGTTTTAAAGCACAATATACAAAGGGGGCACTAATAATAATAATGATAATAAAACATTTTATTTATACCCCACCCTCCCCAGCCAAGGCCGGGCTCAGGGCGGCTAACAGCCAATAATCAAAGCAAGTGGATTAAAATGCAACTGAAAAAACAAGAGTGAAATGCAATGTTAACACATTAATGTTTTAACAATAATAATAATAATAATAATAATAATATATTATTTGTTCCCCAGCCACTCTGGGCGGCTTCCATAGAAACAAAAAATACAGTGAAATATCACAGATTAAAAACTTCCCTGAACAGGGCTGCCTTAAGATGTCTTCTAAATGTCAGGTAGTTATTTATCGCTTTGACATCTGATGGGAGGGCGTTCCACAGGGCAGGCGCCACTACCGAGAAGGCCCTCTGCCTGGTTCCCTGCAGCTTTGCTTCTCGCAATGAGGGAACCACCAGAAGGCCCTCGGCGCTGGACCTCAGTGTCCGGGCTGGATGATCGGGGTGGAGACGCTCCTTCAGGTATACTGGGCCGAGGCCGTTTAGGGCTTTAAAGGTCAACACCAGCACTTTGAATTGTGCTCGGAAACGTACTGGGAGCCAATGTAGGTCTTTCAAGACCGGTGTTATGTGGTCTCGGCGGCCGCCCCAGTCACCAGTCTAGCTGCCGCATTCTGGGTTAATTGTAGTTTCCGGGTCACCTTCAAAGGTAGCCCCACGTAGAGCGCATTGCAGTAGTCCAAGCGGGAGATAACTAGAGCATGCACCACTCTGGCAAGACAGTCCGCGGGCAGGTAGGGTCTCAGCCTGCGTACCAGGTGGAGTTGGTAGACAGCTGCCCTGGATACAGAATTGACCTGCGCCTCCATGGACAGCTGTGAGTCCAAAATGACTCCCAGGCTGCACACCTGGTCCTTCAGGGGCACAGTTACCCTATTCAGGACCAGGAGTCCTCCACACCAGCCCACCCCCTGTCCCCCAAAAACAATACTTCTGTCTTGTCAGGATTCAACTTCAATCCATTAGCCGCCATCCATCCTCCAACCGCCTCCAGGCACTCACACAGGACCTTCACCGCCTTCACTGGTTCTGATTTGAAAGAGAGGTAGAGCTGGGTATCATCTGCATATTGATGGACACCCAGTCCAAATCCCCTGATGATCTCTCCCAGCGGCTTCATATAGATGTTAAAAAGCATGGGGGAGAGGACAGAACCCTGAGGCACCCCACAAGTGAGGGCCCAGGGGTCTGAACACTTATCCCCCACCACCACTTTCGGAACACGGCCCAGGAGGAAGGAGCGAAACCACTGTATAACAGTGCCCCCAGCTCCCAGCTAGAGCTAGACAGGGAGCTACACAAAACTCAACTTCTTTTTCAAAATGTTTCAGAGCTTTTTTTAAAAAAATTGTGCGTAGATGCCACTATCTTTATTTCTTTGCACCTGGAATGACCTGCTAAAAGGGTCTGGGGGAACCTTTTTTTTTTTCTTAGGACCTAGGAAGACCCCTGCTAAAAGAGTTTCTGGGGAATCTTCCTTCCTTGCTTGCTTCCTTCCTCTAACTTCTCAACAACAGAACCCCCTCGGCATCAGCAGACATTAAAAATTCACTTCACGCTCCAGCCCGGCCAGATAAAACCAAAGGATCAGTGTCAGGAAATAATGTTGGGAAAGGGGGGAGAAGGAAAAAAAGGAAGCAACATGACGACGTCAAACACAGCAAATATATACCGTGTTTTCCCGTGCATAATAAATAATAATAATAATAAATTTATACCCCACCCTTCCCGGTTTAAAAACCAGGCTCAGGGCGGCTAACAACAAATACAAAACACTGATTAAAATGTGACTTAAAAATAGCATATAATACAACACAAATGCAGCATCAATATCAAGAAAATTCAAAAATCCGGGGGTCATTTTTTTGGTGGGGGGGAATCCCAGTCCGTAGACATCAAATGATCGCCAGGGCTAACCAGCCAAGTTGGTCCTACAACGGCCAGCAAGGAGACCAGGGAAGAATTTAAATGTGGGTCCCAGAAAGGGTTTCTTCATAGAAGGGGAGGGGGGAAAGGGAATAGGGGATCAGGCTAATTCAGACTGAAGGCCAGGCAGAATAGCTCCGTCTTACAGGCCCTAGTCTTGTGGGACAGAGCGTTCCACCAGGTCGGAGCCACCACTAAAAAGGCCCTGGCCCTGGTGGAGGATAATCTGACTTCCTTAGGGCCCGGGACCTTTAAGCTATTCTTATTCATGGACCTTAGGGTCCTCTGTGGGACATACCAGGAGGGGTGGTCCCGTTAAGCACGATGTTCTCTCCTGAATTTTTTGAGCAAAAAAAAAGGGGGGGGTTCGTCTCCTACGCAGTTTCCATTGGCAAATTTGAGGGCCACTGCCCCAGCAAAAGAAGCCTCAAGAACTTTGAAATCACCCCAAGGAAGAGCTTGGCAGCTCTGGTGACCTGAAAAATGCAGATTTCTTAATTTGGGGCCTTGGTCCAGTGTATCGGAAGGAGCGTCTCCACCCCCATTGTTCTGTCCGGATGCCAGAGTCCATCTCCAAGGGCCTTCTGGCGGTTCCCTCGCTGCAAGAAGCCAAGTTACAGGGAACCAGGCGGAGGGCCTTCTCGCTGGTGGCGCCCGCCCTGTGGAACGCCCTCCCACCAGATGTCAAAGAGAACAACAACAACCAGACTTTGAGAAGACATCTGAAGGCAGCCCTGTTTAGGAAAGTTTTGAACGTTTAATAGACTATTGTATTTTAATATTTTGTTGGAAGCCGCCCAGAGTGGCTGGGGAAGCCCAGTCAGATGGGCAGGGTATAAATAATAAATTATTATTATTATTATTATTAAGGGAGAACGTGGGCTGACAGATCTCTCCAACTGCGGGGACCTCCAGCTGGCCGGCAGCAGAGGAGGGTGCTGGCACTTCTGGAGGCCAGCTTCTGGGGCGCGCATGAGAGCAAGGGGCTCCCCAAAGGCTCTGGGGCGAGTCGCCCACAGAAGGCTTGATTAGAAAAAACTCGGAGGACGTGCGCTGAGCTACTCCATGCAACGGTCGCCTCCAGACTGGATTACTGCAACTCGCTCTACATGGGGTTGCCCTTGAGACTGACCCAGAAACTCCAGCGGGTGCAGAATGCCGCGGCGAGACTCCTTACGGGCTCCTTGCAGCGGGATCACATTCACCCGGTGCTATACCAGCTGCACTGGCTCCCGGTGGAGGACAGGATCAGGTTCAAGGTGCTTGTTTTAACCTTCAAAGCCCTATACGGCCTAGGACCCTCGTACCTATGGGACCGCCTCTCCTGGTACGTCCCGTGGTCCTCAAACAAAAACATCTCGGAGGTCCCGGGCCACAGGGAGTTTAGGCTGGCCTCCACCAGAGCCAGGGCTTTTTCGACCATGGCCCCGACCTGGTGGAACGCTCTGTCACAAGAGACTAGGGCCCTGCGGGACTTGACATCTTTCCGCAGGGCCTGCAAGACAGAGCTGTTCCGCCGGGCCTTTGGCCAAGGCATAGCCTGACCCCCTCCTTTGGCAATCCTCACAGAACTCTAGCCCAATGGTTGCCATTAATTTGATTTTAGAATGAACTGATTTTAGAATGCTGTATTGCTTTACTGTTGTTAGCCGCTCTGAGTCCTGCTTTGGCTGGGGAGGGCAGGATATACCGGGTTTTTTCGCTCCATAAGACGCACCTGACCATAAGAAGCACCTAGTTTTTAGAGGAGGAAAACAAGAAAAAAAATATTCTCAACGAAACAGCGGGTGTATGATTTTGGTGGTTAATGCTGTGGCCACAGACATGTGATTTGACGGTGAGTTTGGGGTAGCCAAATGCAAAAATCCTGAGGATCCATGTGGATCCATGCTTTGTAACCACATTTTTGTACCATTGTAGCCCCAGGAAACAGTGGATGCGTGATATTTTTGGTGTAGGCTGTAGACATGGACATGCTATGTGATCTGATGGTGAATTTGGGGTGACCCAATGTAAAAATCCTGAGGATCCATGGGCTTTCACCTCCCCCCCTGCAGCCTCCTTTATCGCTAGCGTCCCTTATGTCTCTCCCGATCCCACCGATCAGCTGCTTCCTTTCAACACTCCCTTCTCCCCTCTTTGCCTTAGTGTATTTTCCTTAGCTGGAACAGTTTTTTGCTCCTCCTTTTTTTCTAATTTCTTTCCTCATTGATTTAGTCTTCCTGACTCCTCTCCTTGCAATTTTGCTGTCTTTACCTCCCCCCCTCCCAGGCAGCCTCCTTTATTGCTAGCGTCCCTTATCTCGCTTCCAATCACTTGCGATCTTCCCTCTTTCAAAAAAATTCGGCTCCAGGGACCACGCATTTGCTCCGTAAGGCGCACAGAAATTTCCCCTTACTTTTTAGCAAAAAATACCATAAATAAAATTTTATTCTTATTATTACCACCTCCGGCCCCAGCCCAGGCGGCAATAACGCCCAAGGTACCTTTCCGATTCATGCCCATCTGCAGGCACTTGAGCAGGCGGCAGTACTGGCAGCGGTTGCGCTGCTTGCGGGACATGACGCAGTTCTTGTCGCGGCTGCACCGGTAGACCCTCTTGTTGCAGATGCTGCGCTTGAAGAAGCCCTTGCAGCCCTCGCAGGAGATGATGCCGTAGTGGAGGCCGGTGGCACGGTCGCCGCAAATCAGGCAGGTGCGCTGCTCTGCCCGGTCGCCTGCAAAGGGGGGGGGGAGGAGGAGACAGCAGCGGGTGAGACGCGGAGACAAGGACGCAGTTTGGCCAGGGAGACAAAGGGGACATGGGGCAGTTTTAATAATAATAATAATAATAATAAATTATTTCTACCCCGCCCTCCCCAACCAAGACCGGGCTCAGGGCGGCTAACAACCAATAAAAAACAAGTTGATTGAAATGCAACTTAAAAAACAAGATTAAAACGCAACGTTAAAATGCAGCCTCATCACAGGAGAAGAAAGGAAAAAAGGAGGGGGGATTGTGTCTTATGGAGCAATAATAATAATAATAATAATAAATTTTATTTATACCCCGCCCTCCCCAGCCAAGGCTGGGCTCAGGGCGGCTAACAACCAATAATAAAAACAAGTTAAAAATGAGATTAAAATACAACATTAAAACATTAAAATGCAGCCTCATCACAGGAGTAGAAAGGAAAAAGAAAGGGGGGGGGAATCAAGTTGATCCCAAGCCAAAGGCCAGGCGGAAAAACTCTGTCTCACAGGCCCTGCGGAAAGAAATCAGATCCTGGAGGGCCCTGGTCTCATGAGACAGAGCGTTCCACCAGGCCGGGGCCAGTGCTGAAAAGGCCCTGGCACTGGCTGAGGCTAATCTGACTTCCTTAGGGCCCAGGACCTCTAGGGTGTTGCTATTGATGAACCTTAAGGTCCTCCGAGGGGCATACCAGGAGGGGCAGTCCCATAGGTACGAGGGTCCTAGGCCGCATTCTTATAACACTGGCTTGGGCTGTGTGTGTGTGCGGGGGGAAATGCACAGATAAGAGCACGGAAAGCAGAAGATAAAGTGGGCCTGTTATGTGTGACATCAGCACAGTGTGAGCAGCTCAGGGAGACAGAGCAGGATTAGGACATGCTGCAAATCCACATTCGGCCACTGAGGGGCAGTCGAGCATCATATTTGAGGACAAATTGCTTGTAAGAACCTTTCAGCAATAGAGGCTAACACCCTCTAGGGTGTTGCTATTTATGGCCCTTAAGGTCCTCCGTGGGGCAGACCAGGAGAGGTGGTCCAGGGGACCTCGGTGCCACCGGCCGGGGAAGGGACCCAGGGGATTCAGTTCAGGGCAGGGGTAGGCAAACAGTCCAGTAGCACCTTCTAGAGCAACTACCGTATTTTTCGCTCCGTAAGACACTTTTTCCTCCTAAAAAGGAAGGGGAGAGGTCTGTGCATCTTATGGAGTGAATGTGGGGTCCGTCGCTGGCCCCTTGCCCAGGCCTCCATTGTTGAATGTTTTTCTCCCCCCCCCAAAGGTCATAGCTGGAATCGCACGGCACCAAGTTTCCTATCAATCGCTTGCAACACGGCTGGAATATATCTATTTCCTACAGGAGGAGGAGAGGGGGCAAGATTTAATATGGTGAGCTGTCGCTTTAGCCTTTGCTATTGCAGCACACAGATAGTGTGTTGCAATTCGTGTTATTTTTAAATAAAATTCCAACCCCCCCACTAAATGTTGTAGCTGGAGAAGCAAAGCTACAGGGAACCAGGCAGAGGGCCTTCTCGGTGGTGGCACCCTCCCATCAGGTGTTAGCAGCGGCGTAGCGTGGGTTGTCAGCACCCGGGGCAAGGCAAGTAATTTGCGCCCCCTAACCCCTAACCTGCCGCCGCTGCCAGCTTCTTCTTGCTGCTGCCTGGTCTGGTCTGGTGTGGTTCTCTCCTGCGCTCAGCGCTGCGCTGGGCGGCCGCCGGACTGTCCCTCCCCCAGATAGTCCCTCGCTCTCTCTCCGCACCGCACGCCTGGCACCCACCCCCTCCACAGTGGGCGGCGACCCAGCGGCTCGGATCGGATTCGCACAGCCAGCCCTGCAGTGAGAGAGAGTGAGTGAGCCAGGTAGGGGCAGAGAGCTGCAAGTGCGAGTGCGCCCCCCCAGATGTTGCGCCCGGTGCGGCCGGCCCCCCCTGCACCCCGCACGCTACGCCACTGGATGTTAGAGAAATAAACAACTATATGACATTTAGAAGACATCTGAAGGCAGCCCTGTTCAGGGACGTTTTTCATGAATGACATTTTTGTGTAATTTTGGTCTTTGTTGAAAGCTGCCCAGAGCGGCTGGGGAAAGCCAGCCAGATGGGCGGGGTACAAATCATAAATTATTATCATCATCATCATTATCATCACACGGCACAAAGTTTCGTATCAATCGCTCGCAATACGGCTGGGATATATTTATTTCCTACAGAAGGAGGAGGGGAAAAAATAAGCTTTAATATGGTGAGCTGTCGCTTTCGCCTTCGCTACTGCAGCACAGATAAGTGTGTTCCGATTCGGTTTTTTCCTCCTAAAGAGGGGAAGTGTCTGTGCGTCTTATGGAGCGAATGTGGGGTCGATCGCTGCCCTTGCCCAGGTCTCCATTGCTGAATTTTCTGCAGATGGAGGCCATTTTCTTCCCGGCGACACACAACCGGCTGATTAGATTATGTCTGGACAGATCTAAAAAGATTTGAAATATCTATGTATTTTGTTGGTGTATTTGAAATGAAAACTTAATAAGAAGCATTTCTTTAAAAAAATTATGTCCGGAAACTGCAGAAACGGCTCCCTTCCCTTTCCTAAAGATCCTGCCCAGGAAATGGAACCAATTCCATATCAATTGATCAATTGAGATCCCAAAATAGCATTACTTTCTCTATTTGCAGATGAAGCACAAAATCTTAGAGACAAAATACTTCATTGTGCATCTTAGAACTGCTGCACGTCTTGCCGCTGCTAGACAGCGGAGGACATTAAACGTGAACCTTAATTTTAATTTAATTTTAAGGAATTAATTTTTATGGAAAAGTTAACAGAAAGGGTAGGTGACAGAAAACAACGTGAGAAACTACGTAACTTTTACCTAACGTGGTCCTCCTTTATTACATATGCATCAAAGAAAGAACATGTATTTAAATCACCTAAGGAGCAGGTGAAATGAGATTTTTTTTAAACAAGCAACTGTAGAAATAATTTTTCATTTGATTATAATACTAATGTAAATTACCTGGACGTAGTTGGGGTTGGTTTTTGGGAGGTGGGGTTAGGGGGAAACTGTATTTTATTGCTTGTATTTGATTAGATGTTGTTATTATATTCAACTAATATTAAAAAAAAAAGCTGCAGAACTTTGAGTTGAACCCCATAAAAACAGGATTTTCCCCCTTTGCAAAGTAAGCTCAACAACCGTGAACCCCCCAAAAATGAGGCTTTTCCCCTTTGCAAAAGAATCTGCACAATAAAAAAATTAAATTAAGGAAGCGCAGAACAAGGGGGAAGGAAGTTGAATTTTGAAATGTTAGAAGGATTGTAAAGTTATTGGAATGTATAGAATTGAAAATCATAAATAAAATAATCGTAATAATAACAACCAATTTCGGCTAAAAAAAATGTGACGTTAACCAACAAATGGGGGAGAAACCTCTATGTGAAATCACTTGGGGAAAGGAATGGAGAGCGTCCCTATTTACATGGGAGAAACGTCGGAGGGGATGGCAGAACGTCCCTATTTTCATGGGAGAAATGTCAGAGGGGATGGCAGAACGTCCCTATTTACATGGGAGAAACGTCGGAGGGGATGGCAGAATGTCCCTATTTTCATGGGAGAAACGTCGGAGGGGATGGCAGAATGTCCCTATTTTCATGGGAGAAACGTCGGAGGGGATGGCAGAACGTCCCTATTTTCATGGGAGAAATGTCAGAGGGGATGGCAGAACGTCCCTATTTACATGGGAGAAACGTCGGAGGGGATGGCAGAATGTCCCTATTTTCATGGGAGAAACGTCGGAGGGGATGGCAGAATGTCCCTATTTTCATGGGAGAAACGTCGGAGGGGATGGCAGAATGTCCCTATTTTCATGGGAGAAACGTCGAAAGAGATGGCAGAACATCCCTATTTTCATGGGAGAAACGTCGGAGGGGATGGCAGAACGTCCCTATTTTCATGGGAGAAACGTCGGAGGGGATGGCAGAACGTCCCTATTTTCATGGGAGAAACGTCGGAGGGGATGGCAGAACGTCCCTATTTTCACGGGAGAAACGTCGGAGGGGATGGCAGAACGTCCCTATTTTCACGGGAGAAACGTCGGAGGGGGTGGTAAAAGATCTCCATTTTCACGAGAGAAATGTCGGAGGGGATGGCAGAACGTCCCTATTTTCATGGGAGAAACGTCGGAGGGGATGGCAGAACGTCCCTATTTTCACGGGAGAAACGTCGGAGGGGGTGGTAAAAGATCTCCATTTTCACGAGAGAAATGTCGGAGGGGATGGCAGAACGTCCCTATTTTCACGGGAGAAACGTCGGAGGGGGTGGCAGAACGTCCCTATTTTCACGGGAGAAACGTCGGAGGGGGTGGTAAAAGATCTCCATTTTCACGAGAGAAATGTTGGAGGGGATGGCAGAACGTCCCTATTTTCACGGGAGAAACGTCGGAAGGGATGGCAGAACGTCCCTATTTTCACGGGAGAAACGTCGGAGGGGGTGGCAGAACGTCCCTATTTTCACAGGAGAAACGTCGGAGGGGGTGGCAGAACGTCCCTATTTTCATGGGAGAAATGTTGGAGGGGATGATGACGTTTGAAAGCACGTCAAAGTCCAAGTAGATCAATAGGTACCGCTCTGGCGGGAAGGTAAACGGCGTTTCCGTGCGCTGCTCTGGTTCGCCAGAAGCGGCTTAGTCATGTTGGC